AAGCTTTTCACAGCAGGGTTTTTGCAGTGGAGCCTGGGAGAAGGCAGCAGCTCTGGGGGTCTCCCCAGGTGATGGGCAGCTCCTTCCTCACATCCCAAGCATCCACCAGGACCAGCAGCCCCTCTGGGTATCCAGCCAGGGCACCCAGTGCCCTGAGGGAACAACTCCTGAAGGTGACCACTAGTTTTAGATATTGAGATGTTTTTAGTGAAAAGCAACATTTGCCTAAATCTTCCCTTCCAGCCCTTTTGGAAAATTTCAATTTAGGGGAAAACTAATTTTTATCTCTATATAGATAATAGATATAGATATAGATATAAATCAAAGCTGTTTTCTAGGCTCTGCATCAGAAATACTTTAATTTTTATTTAAATGAAGGATTTGCCTTCTCTGCTGAGGATGGGGGGTGGTTCTGGGGTCTATCCCTCCAGCTGTGGCATCATCTGGAGTCTCTGGAGCTTTGAGTCTCCCTGGCAAAACTGTCAGCAAGTGACTTGGCTGGGTTTTTATCCCCAGAAAGCTGCAGGGATGATGACAGCACTACTGAAAGCCAGTGTGGGGCAACAACCAGGAAAAGGCCTTTTCAGCTCTCAGAAAAAGGCAGGAATGTCAAGCAGGTTGATGCTGCCACTTAGAGGGGTGAAGCTGCTGGGTAAATGAAGGGAAGAAAATGCATTGGGGGTGGCAGGAGGCAGCAGAGGGTCCAGGGCTGATGTGGCAGCTCAGATCTGAGCCAGGTTGTGGCTGATGGGCAGAATAATCTCAATTTTGGCTCTCTGAGCAAGACAAAGGGAGTCTGAGACAGGCACAGCCACCCCATCCTGGCTCTTCCACCCTGCCCTGCCCTGCAACTGGCCCTAAGAGGGGCTGAAATCCCACGGGCAGGCACCAGTCACCCAGGGGAAAATTAACCCCGTGGGCTGGGAATTTGGCGTGCAGGGCCCTAATTAGAAAGAGGCTGATGAGTTAGGAACCAGCCTTGCCTTGGACAGGAATGTGATCCCATCCCTGGCACCCCCGGGGGATTTAATGACTACTTGCAGAGAGGGGGAAGGGCACCCATGGCCCTGGAGCAGGGATGTCCCTTTGGTCACTTACTGAAGGCAGGGAGAGTAGGCACTGGCTTTATTGTTGTTGGTTTTTTCCCCCTTCACCTCCATAGATGAAATAACCCAGATAACCAGGTCCTGGGTGTTTTAAGGCCAACCTAGTTCTCATCTTGTATTTGGGCCGTGGCCAAGGGATGACTTAGAGCTGCAGCAGCAACCTGAGCAAGAATATTCGCTCTAATAATTATTGAGCAAGAATTTCACTCTCATAATAATGAAGAATCTCCCCAGAGGAGGCCACAGAGATGATCCCAGGGCTGGAGCAGCTCTGGAGCCAGGCTGGGAGAGCTGGGGTGTTCAGCCTGGAGAAGAGAAGGCTCCAGGGAGACCTTAGAGCAGCTTCCAGTGCCTGAAGGGGCTCCAGGAAAGCTGGGGAGGGGCTTGGGACAAGGGCAGGGAGGGATGGGATGAGGGGGAAGGGTTTCCAGCTGCAAGAGGGGAGATGGAGATGAGATCTGAGGGAGAAATTCTGTGCTGTGAGGGTGGTGAGAGCCTGGCCCAGGCTGCCCAGGGAAGCTGTGGCTGCCCCATCCCTGGCAGTGTTGAAGGGCAGGTTGGATGGGGCTTGGAGCAGCCTGGGCTGGTGGGAGGTGTCCCTGCCCATGCAGGGGTGGGACTGGATGGGCTTTAAGGTCCTTCCCACCCAAACCAGCGTGGGATTCTGTGGAAAACAAGAGAGCAGGCTGAGGGAGGGATGTGTTTTTGCCGGGCTGGGTTTATCTCTCTGTCGCTCAGTGCAGCTCCTGCCGGACACAGCCCGTGTCCCCCCGTCTGTCCCCGTCCCCTCCAGCCCCCGCCCCGCTCCCCGGCCGCAGCAATGCAAGGTCCCTGCAAGGTCCCTGCAAGGTCCCTGCAAGGTCCCTGCAAGGTCCCTGCAAGGTCCCTGCAAGGTCCCTGCAAGGTCCCTGCAAGGTCCCTGCAAGGTCCCTGCAAGGTCCCTGCAAGGTCCCTGCAAGGTCCCTGCAAGGTCCCTGCAAGGTCCCTGCAAGGTCCCTGCAAGGTCCCTGCAAGGTCCCTGCAAGGTCCCTGCAAGGTCCCTGCAAGGTCCCTGCAAGGTCCCTGCAAGGTCCCTGCAAGGTCCCTGCAAGGTCCCTGCAAGGTCCCTGCAAGGTCCCTGCAAGGTCCCTGCAAGGTCCCTGCAAGGTCCCTGCAAGGTCCCTGCAAGGTCCCTGCAAGGTCCCTGCAAGGTCCCTGCAAGGTCCCTGCAAGGTCCCTGCAAGGTCCCTGCAAGGTCCCTGCAAGGTCCCTGCAAGGTCCCTGCAAGGTCCCTGCAAGGTCCCTGCAAGGTCCCTGCAAGGTCCCTGCAAGGTCCCTGCAAGGTCCCTGCAAGGTCCCTGCAAGGTCCCTGCAAGGTCCCTGCAAGGTCCCTGCAAGGTCCCTGCAAGGTCCCTGCAAGGTCCCTGCAAGGTCCCTGCAAGGTCCCTGCAAGGTCCCTGCAAGGTCCCTGCAAGGTCCCTGCAAGGTCCCTGCAAGGTCCCTGCAAGGTCCCTGCAAGGTCCCTGCAAGGTCCCTGCAAGGTCCCTGCAAGGTCCCTGCAAGGTCCCTGCAAGGTCCCTGCAAGGTCCCTGCAAGGTCCCTGCAAGGTCCCTGCAAGGTCCCTGCAAGGTCCCTGCAAGGTCCCTGCAAGGTCCCTGCAAGGTCCCTGCAAGGTCCCTGCAAGGTCCCTGCAAGGTCCCTGCAAGGTCCCTGCAAGGTCCCTGCAAGGTCCCTGCAAGGTCCCTGCAAGGTCCCTGCAAGGTCCCTGCAAGGTCCCTGCAAGGTCCCTGCAAGGTCCCTGCAAGGTCCCTGCAAGGTCCCTGCAAGGTCCCTGCAAGGTCCCTGCAAGGTCCCTGCAAGGTCCCTGCAAGGTCCCTGCAAGGTCCCTGCAAGGTCCCTGCAAGGTCCCTGCAAGGTCCCTGCAAGGTCCCTGCAAGGTCCCTGCAAGGTCCCTGCAAGGTCCCTGCAAGGTCCCTGCAAGGTCCCTGCAAGGTCCCTGCAAGGTCCCTGCAAGGTCCCTGCAAGGTCCCTGCAAGGTCCCTGCAAGGTCCCTGCAAGGTCCCTGCAAGGTCCCTGCAAGGTCCCTGCAAGGTCCCTGCAAGGTCCCTGCAAGGTCCCTGCAAGGTCCCTGCAAGGTCCCTGCAAGGTCCCTGCAAGGTCCCTGCAAGGTCCCTGCAAGGTCCCTGCAAGGTCCCTGCAAGGTCCCTGCAAGGTCCCTGCAAGGTCCCTGCAAGGTCCCTGCAAGGTCCCTGCAAGGTCCCTGCAAGGTCCCTGCAAGGTCCCTGCAAGGTCCCTGCAAGGTCCCTGCAAGGTCCCTGCAAGGTCCCTGCAAGGTCCCTGCAAGGTCCCTGCAAGGTCCCTGCAAGGTCCCTGCAAGGTCCCTGCAAGGTCCCTGCAAGGTCCCTGCAAGGTCCCTGCAAGGTCCCTGCAAGGTCCCTGCAAGGTCCCTGCAAGGTCCCTGCAAGGTCCCTGCAAGGTCCCTGCAAGGTCCCTGCAAGGTCCCTGCAAGGTCCCTGCAAGGTCCCTGCAAGGTCCCTGCAAGGTCCCTGCAAGGTCCCTGCAAGGTCCCTGCAAGGTCCCTGCAAGGTCCCTGCAAGGTCCCTGCAAGGTCCCTGCAAGGTCCCTGCAAGGTCCCTGCAAGGTCCCTGCAAGGTCCCTGCAAGGTCCCTGCAAGGTCCCTGCAAGGTCCCTGCAAGGTCCCTGCAAGGTCCCTGCAAGGTCCCTGCAAGGTCCCTGCAAGGTCCCTGCAAGGTCCCTGCAAGGTCCCTGCAAGGTCCCTGCAAGGTCCCTGCAAGGTCCCTGCAAGGTCCCTGCAAGGTCCCTGCAAGGTCCCTGCAAGGTCCCTGCAAGGTCCCTGCAAGGTCCCTGCAAGGTCCCTGCAAGGTCCCTGCAAGGTCCCTGCAAGGTCCCTGCAAGGTCCCTGCAAGGTCCCTGCAAGGTCCCTGCAAGGTCCCTGCAAGGTCCCTGCAAGGTCCCTGCAAGGTCCGTGCAAGGAGCTGGGGGTCACTGCAAGGTCCCTGCAAGGTCCCTGCAAGGTCCGTGCAAGGAGCTGGGGGTCACTGCAAGGTCCCTGCAAGGTCCCTGCAAGGTCCGTGCAAGGAGCTGGGGGTCACTGCAAGGTCCCTGCAAGGTCCCTGCAAGGTCCGTGCAAGGAGCTGGGGGTCACTGCAAGGTCCCTGCAAGGTCCCTGCAAGGTCCGTGCAAGGAGCTGGGGGTCACTGCAAGGTCCCTGCAAGGTCCCTGCAAGGTCCGTGCAAGGAGCTGGGGGTCACTGCAAGGTCCCTGCAAGGTCCCTGCAAGGTCCCTGCAAGGTCCCTGCAAGGTCCCTGCAAGGTCCCTGCAAGGTCCCTGCAAGGTCCCTGCAAGGTCCCTGCAAGGTCCCTGCAAGGTCCCTGCAAGGTCCCTGCAAGGTCCCTGCAAGGTCCCTGCAAGGTCCCTGCAAGGTCCCTGCAAGGTCCCTGCAAGGTCCCTGCAAGGAGCAGAGGGGGTCCTTGCAACCCATCTGTGATGGGCACCTTGAGAGGAGGCTGTGCTGTGCACTAACCTCTGCAGGTCCTCACTCTGCTGGGGTGTCAGAACCAGGTTGTGCCTTAGAGTCTTGCAGAGCTTTCCATCCATGTTGAAGGATCCCAAGAGGGGGTCCTTGCAACCCATCTGTGATGGGCACCTTGAGAGGAGGCTGTGCTGTGCACTAACCTCTGCAGGTCCTCACTCTGCTGGGGTGTCAGAACCAGGTTGTGCCTTAGAGTCTTGCAGAGCTTTCCATCCATGTTGAAGGATCCCATCAAGTCGTGTCACAGTTAAGTTATTACAGTCATTAAGCAATTGTTGAACATCATTAAGGCTCCAGCCTTAAAAATAGCAACTTTATGCCTATTATTTTTTCTCTTTTGTTTGGTTTATTTTACACTGCAGACAGGCCGGATCGAACCAAACTACCCCAAAGTCTGTGGTCACCAGGGCAACGTGCTGGACATCAAGTGGAACCCCTTCATTGAGAACATCATCGCCTCGTGCTCCGAAGACACCTCGGTGAGCTGGGATGCTTCAGGCCAGCACCTCCTGGCACCCTGCCTGAGCAGGGGGTGGGACTAGATCATCTCCAGAGGCTCCTTCCAACCCTCCCCGTGTCAGGATTCTGGAATTCTGTGGCTCAGCCACCTCAGGAGTGAAAAGAGGGGGAGATATTGATGCAGAGCAATAGGCAGATTGTTTCAATCCCTGGCTCCTGTGTCACCAGTGCAGGGGCTGTGGCCAGTGCCCAGCTCCTCTGCTGTCCCCAGTGTCACTTATTGTCACAAGTGCTGCTCTTTCTGTGTCCCCTGCTGCAGATCAGCCCTACAGCTGTGCACAACAAGGTCCTTTTTATTTCCTTTTCCCCAAGCCCAACAGCAACACTATTATTAATCCTTCTTGCTCTCAGAGGGCTGCGACTTCTCTCGTGGCCTGATCCACCCAGGGATATGAGCAAGAAAAGGCTCCTTTCATAGGCCAGGGGAGGAGGAATCAGGTCATCTTCATGTAGCTTTGCATCCTCCTTCTTGTTTTCTGGACACAAACCAGCCCATCCCAAAGGCTGTGTCATAAAGGGGGAAAAAAACCAACCTTGGTACAAGGGAGAAGATCAGAACCCGTCGCCCATCCTGCACGGCAGAAGCCAGGGCTTGGGGTGACCCAGTTTTGAACCAGTTCCAAAGCTGCCTCTCCTGATCCTTGGAGCTTTGCTGCGTTATCACCCAGTGCCTCATCCTCTTCCTCCGTTCCCTGCGTTGGTGTTTTACATGAGCTGGAAGCTTGGCAGGGAAAGGGATGGAGCGGGGGGAGCCGTGCAGGTGGTGGCCGTGAGTCACGGGGAGCTGCCTCCTACTGCAGGTTGTAACCTTGGGAACAGCAGGGGCTGGGAGGGAGGGAGGGAGGGAAGGTGCTTCATGTGCCATCCTCAAACCTGGGAAATGAAGTTAATTGCCCCTGAGGCTGTTTGGATTGGAGAGGGCTGGTGGGAGGTGGTTCCCCTTGATGGGGATGAGTTGGAGGGGGGTGGGCTTGTAGCTCCCAGTGCCAGCCCCTGCTTGGGGTGATGCTTATGGGCAGGTCTTGCACCTTTGGGCTCTCCCTCCTTGCTCCCAGGCTCAACAAACCCATACCCATCCATCCCTGTTTCCATAACAGGGTCTGCCCTGGTGTCCTCCCACGGGGACTGTGAATTGATTGTTTGTCCTTGCAGGACAATCAGCAGCAGGGCTGATCCTCTGCTTCCCTGTCCTGCTGCAGCATTGCCAGCTGCTGAAACGCTGCAAAGGCTTTTTTTGGGAAGGAGCTTTCCAAGGGCAGGACAAACCCAGCAGGAGGATTAAAAGGGGAGTTCCCCAGTCTCTGTAGGTGTTTCTGCATTTTCCCTGTGCCAGAGCTCTGCGAGGCACGGAGCTGATGTGGCCTCAGAGATAGAGGAGGAGTTTTGCAGCAGGGCAGCTTGTCTGCAGGACACGTCCCTTTGTGGAAAGGGGTTTTTAGGGAAAAATTGATCAAGGAGGCTTCTTAGGATGGGTTGAAAGAGAAAGGCTCCAATTCTGCAGGCTGGATCCCATCTGTCTGTCCTAGTGCCATGGGAGGATATGGATAGAGGCACTTTGAGGGCTGCTCCTCTATTTTTTAATTAGTTGAGTTTTTTTAATGATAATTTTCCAAAAGCATTGTTTTCATCCTAGGGTGGGAGGAGGTGGCAAAACCCAACAGTTGAGTTTGGGGTCACCTCTAGCTATGTCTATGCTGGCAGCAGGACAGTGTTGGTACTGCAGCCGCTTCTGACACATTGGTTTTCAGGGACTGTGGTGATGGGAAACCTGCCTTGAACAGCCCAGCCCTGGCTGCCACCCCCTTTTTTTTTGCAAGGAGTGATGAGCTCCATTGGGAGCAGCTGTGAGGCTGTGCTGCAGAGCCCAGCCATGCTTCCCAGCTGAGCACGGATCCTGGAATCAGGGAATGGTTTGGGTTGGAAGGAACCTTCAAGAACATGGGCAGGGACACCTCCCACCAGCCCAGGCTGCTCCAAGCCCCATCCAACCTGCCCTTCAACACTGCCAGGGATGGGGCAGCCACAGCTTCCCTGGGCAGCCTGGGCCAAGGTCTCACCACCCTCACAGCAAAGAATTTCCCCCTCAGATCCCATCTCAAACTCCCCTCTTGCAGCTGGAAACCCTTCCCTCTCGTCCTGTCTCTTCTCCTCAGCACCTGCAGTCCAGAGGCAGAAGCTCTGCCACCTTTAGGCACCGTTCCCCCAGTGCTTGCTGATCCCTTGGGATGGGCTCTCTGCTCCCCCCTGCCCTCGCTGGGGACCGGATCAGCCTCAGGACAGGCCTGAGGGAGCAGGATGAGGGCACTGCAGGGATCCAGGAGCCCCCTTGGGAGGGCTTCAGGTGGCCCAAACCCACCCCAATACCTGCCTTATTCCACAGGTGAGGATCTGGGAGATCCCAGAGGGCGGCCTGAAGAGGAACATGACGGAGGCCGTCCTGGAGCTGTACGGGCACAGCCGGCGCGTGGGGCTGGTCGAGTGGCATCCCACCACCAACAACATCCTCTTCAGCGCCGGCTACGACTATAAGGTGAGCCCAGCCTGGCCCCGCTGCCCAGGGCTGGCCTTGCAGAGGCTTTGTCTGCTCGTGACACAAGTGGGAGCTCCCTGTGTGCATCCAGCCGTCTGGAATGAGGCGACCCGCCCTGCAGACAGCAGATGGTGCCTCCCTCCTGCCAGGGCCTCGCACCTGCTCGTTTTAATTTTGCAGGAGCAGCAGCTGTGGGGCAGCCCTGGCAGGGGGGAAGGGGCTCTGCAGGTGATGGGGGGATGGTTGCAGCCCAAATAGGAGATGTCACGATACCCAAAGCAGATGTGGAGGCTGCAGGAGGGGTGGGGGATCTCCAGGAGTGGAGACACCAGGGCAGCATCCCACCTTAGAATCATGGAATTGCAGGCTGGTTTGGGTGGGAAGGGACCTTAAAGCTCATCCAGTCCCAGCATCTGCCTCCTGGCCAGAGCAGTCTGGGAGTCCTGCCCTCAGCATCCCACCCTGGCTGCAATCCCCATCCCTGGCAGGCACAGACCACAGGGGCACAGAGACCCCCAGACCCCCCCTCCATCAGCTTCACCAGGGAAACTTGGGAGGAGGCAGCCTCAAGCAACACCCAACTCCAGAATCATAGGCTCCCAGACTGGGTTGGAAGGGACCTTCAAGTCCGGTCCCCCTGCATGGGCAGGGACACCTCCCACCAGCCCAGGCTGCTCCAAGCCCCATCCAACCTGCCCTTCAACCCTGCCAGGGATGGGGCAGCCACAGCTTCCCTGGGCAACCTGGGCCAGGCTCTCCCCACCCTCACAGCCAAGAATGTCTTCACTTTCCTGCAGGTCCTCATCTGGAACCTGGACATCGGGGAGCCAGTGAAGATGATCGACTGCCACACGGACGTCATCCTCTGCATGTCCTTCAACACTGATGGCAGCCTCCTGGCCACCACCTGCAAGGACAAGAAGCTGCGGGTGGTGGAGCCGCGCTCCGGCAGGGTCCTGCAGGTGTGGTGCTCGTGCAGCAGGGGATGGGGGGGTCAGGAATGAGGTCCTAGGGAGGAATCCCACTGGAAACACGTAAAAAACGTTTGCAAGGTACAGTTGACACTCGTGTTTTGCATGTGTCAGGGTCTGCGGGTCATTCTCTGCTGTGGGAAGGGGCTGTTTTTTTTTAACTAGAGGGAGATGATGGGGAAGGCTCAACCTCACCCCAAGCACGGGAGTTAGAGGCTTTTGTTCTTTTAGTAATTAAGAATCTGTGGAAAACAGTAGAAATGAGAGGGGGGCGCAGAATGGTCCAGAAAGAGCCCCAGTTTGGAGGAAGATGGTGGCTTCTCAGTGAAGGTGGCATCTAGTATTTAGGGCCATGGGCATATTCATTTTGGACAGACACTTGATGGTATGTGGGTGCTGGCTGCCCACGCAGAGCCGCCTTCCACTGGGATGAGCCAGAAGAGGCACTGGGGGGATGGCAGGTCGAGGTACCCCCCAAGGAAGGGGCTGTGCCAGGGGCAGGCCTGGGGGCCGTGGTGGGGCAGGGGCTGCCAACGAGCCTGCTCCTGCCTTGCAGGAGGCCAGCTGCAAGAACCACCGCGTCAACCGGGTGGTGTTCCTGGGCAGCACGAAGCGGCTGCTGACCACGGGGGTCTCGCGCTGGAACACGCGGCAGATCGCGCTGTGGGACCAGGTGGGTGCCAGGACCCCCCCCTGCCTCCCCACTGGGACCCCTGCTCTGCACAAATGGTCACAGAACCATGGACTGGATGAGGCAGCCACAGCTTCACTGGGAAACCTGGGCCAGGGTCTCCCCACCCTCACAGCAAAGAACTTCTTCCTCAGATCTCACCTCAATCTCCCCTCTTGCAGCTGGAAACCCTTCCCCCTCATCCCATCCCTCCCTGCCCTTGTCTCAAGTCCCCCCCCAGCTTTTCTGGAGCCCCTTCAGGCACTGGAAGGTGCTCTAAGCACTGTCTTCTTCAGGCTATTTATTTCTTTCCCTGGTTAATAATGTATTTTTTCCTCTTGTGCAGGAAGACCTGTCCATGCCCCTGATCGAGGAGGAGATCGATGGGCTCTCGGGTCTCCTCTTCCCTTTCTACGATGCTGACACACACATGCTGTACCTGGCTGGCAAGGTAGGGCTTTGGTCCCATGATTCTGCAGCCTGTCTCTGCCCAGGAGAGGTTATCCAACCTCACGTTGGCCAAGCAATGAACTGTTCCTCTTGTGCTGGCTCCAGGGTGACGGCAACATTCGGTACTACGAGATCGGCTCAGAGAAGCCCTACCTGAGTTACCTGATGGAGTTTCGCTCCCCCGCCCCCCAGAAAGGACTGGGTGAGGATGGCCAGGCTGCCCAGCCTGGGGCCTGTGGGGAGAGGGGGGAAGGAGCTTAATTAAAATGCTGCTTGGAACTGGGTTTGGCACAGGTTGGGCAGTGGCTGTGCTGGCTCTGAAGCGTCAGCACAGGGCAGGGTTCCCATGGCTGTGCTGTCCCTGTGGTGAGACAGTTGGGCTGTCACCCTTCCCGCTGGCACAGGCCTTCACCAGAGGACATACCTTAAGATTCTATGATGATGATTCTGTGACATCAGTCTGTGGTTTATCCTGAAGTAAAGCTGCTCACCCCTTTCCTGGTGTCCCTGCAAACGTCCCTGCTGTGGCCCAGGTCTGTCCCCAGTGTGATGGCAGGGATTCATTCAGCCAGGATCTGGGTGTCCTGACGGAGAGCAAGGATGCTTTGGGGTGCTCTGTGCTGGGGAGGCAGGTGGGTGCCCGTAGCTCCGGGGTTATGGTCAGTGTCTCCTCCGCAGGGGTGATGCCGAAGCACGGGCTGGACGTGTCGGCCTGCGAGGTCTTTCGTTTCTACAAGCTCGTCACCCTCAAGGGGCTGATCGAGCCCATCTCCATGATCGTGCCGAGGAGGGTGAGTCCTTGGGGTGGTGCCCGAGGGGGTGGAGAAGCCCCCACAGCTTTGCTGACCAGCCCCACCACCGAGTCTCTTTGCACCAGTCTCAGACCTCCCCTTTGTTATGATTCCAAGGGGATTTTTACCCAGGGTTTAACAGGAATGTTTTGAGGCAACACACCTCTGCCTTGCTCCAGGCCTTGGTGCAGTCGTGGGGTTCAAAGCAGTGGTCCCTGGTGACAGAAAGCGAGGGGCTCATCTCACCTGGGCTTTGAGGGCTGTTTCCGATGAAATACATCTCGGAGCTGGAGCAGGACTTGTTGTTTGCCTTCCCAGCACCATCGAGGCTGGATGCAAACCCAGCAGCAGTTCCCAAAGCCTGTGCCCCAAGCACAGTGTGTCTCCTCCGACTTCATGGTGCAAACACCAGCTGGTTGCCACCCCACCTGGCTGGGGTGGCCTGTGCTGAAGCACTGACCATTTCCAGCACCTTGTCATTGTGCTAAATTGAAGCTGGGAGTTCAGACTGGGAGCAGGTTCACAGAAGTGGCTTTGTTGTGTGGTTTTTTTTTGTTTGTTTTTTTCTTTCCCTGTGTTTTCCAGTCAGAAACGTACCAAGAGGACATTTACCCCATGACCCCAGGGACCGAGCCAGCCCTCACCCCCGACGAGTGGCTGAGCGGGGTGAACAGAGGTAAAGCCACCAGGGTGGGTGACACCAGGCAGCGGGGTGGCACCACGACCCCCCTCCCCGACCCCTTCCTGTGCTCTGCCCCGCCCAGATCCCATCCTGATGTCGCTGAAGGAGGGCTACAAGAGGACATCCAAGATTGTCTTCAAGGCACCGGTGAGGGAGAAAAAAAAGGTTAACGGCATCGACCTGCTGGAGAATGTGCCGCCCCGGACGGAGAACGAGGTAGGACAATGTGGGGACAAACCAGGGCCTGGAGACAAACCAGGGCCTGGGGACAGTCACTTGCTGGTGGGGACACTTCCTGGGTGCTTGGGAAGCCACCCCTTTGCAGGTCTCTGCTTGTGCTCCCAAGCTGAGCTGCCTTGGACACACATTTCCCCGCAGCTCCCAGAATCCTGCTCCATAACCACACAGCACCCAGAAGGAGCAGCACTGAGCTCCTGCATTTCTTCATTTTTATTAAAATCCTCCTCTGGGAACAGCTGAGGGTGGTGCTGGGGAAACATCAGCACTTGCTCCTGGAAAGAACTGGTTTTGCTGGAGCTGAGTTTGCAGATGGCATGTGCAGGGTGTCCCCGAGCCAGAGGCTGCAGCAGGAAACCCGGCAGCGCGGCAGACGAAGTCGTGTTGCCAAAGCAGCCGAGTTATGAAACAGCTCCAGGGGCTGGTGAGTGGCTGGTGAGTGGCTGGTGTGGTCCCTCCAGCTCCTTCCTTCCTTCCCTTCCAGCTCCTTCGGATGTTCTTCCGACAGCAGGACGAGATCCGGCGGCTGAAGGACGAGCTCTCGCAGAAGGACATACGGATCCGGCAGCTACAGCTGGAGCTGAAAAACTTACGGAACAACCCGAAGAATAATTAACTTCCAGGGACGTTTTATAAATAAACTTTCTTTGTTTATACTCGCTCTTCAAATTTATTGTATCCACTCACACAGAATATTGAGCCAGAAGTCAAGTGACCTGCCAAGAGCCCACTCGCTAACTGGAACTGCGTCCTCCTCGGCTTGTCCAGCACTAACACCACCAGACCCCAGAGGCAGCTGGAGCTGTGTCCCTTCTGTCAGGATTTCCCAGCACAGGAGGAGCTGAGGTGGTGGCCAATCCCAGGGAAAGCCTGATGCTTCCTTGCTATTCTTTTTTTTTTTTTTTTTTCTCCTTCCTATGCAAAGGACAACCCAACCAACACACCTGTGTGTCAGTGGGTGCAGAACTGGACGCGGGGTGTGGGAAGGGCTGGATCCACAAAACCTGCTGCTGCCGTGGTGGGAACCTGGGACCCTTCCCGTGCTGCTGGGGTGGTGGCCATGGACACACCCAGGCTTTGGTTGGAGCAGCCTGTGTGTCCCCAGGCTGCAGCCTGGAGAAGGGAGTGGCTCCACGTGTCCATGCATCCCTCCAAGAGCACCTACATCCTTTAACTGAAAAAAAGGGGCTGGGTTTCCTAACCTGAGGGGGATTTTTGCTCCCTCTGCATCTGCAAAGAGGGATTTGGCCACTTCTGTGCTGCTGGGACATGGGGAGGGGAAGGATGTCACTTGGTTGGCGCCGAGGGTCCCCGGGCAGACTCACCCCATGGGATGGACCTGGTGGGGACTTGTTGGCATCAGCAGCCAAGGGGGGTGTGGATTAGGCCTGTAGCACAGGGAACGACACCAAATACTGCTGGTTTACTAGAGATATAATATATATTTTAAGTACAGCAGCAGCTGAACTGCCCGGCACCGCCCGTGCGACAGTTTCTCCTCTCTGTTGGTTGACCTTGTGCCCTGCTCCTGCTGTTATGATCCATGTGCTGTCATTGCCTATTATTTATGCTACTACGGAATAGTGATGAAATAAAATGTTTTCAAGATACCCAAACCTTGCCCACTCCATCCTTTCTCTGGGGTTGTGTGGTCAGAGCTCCTGGGAGGTGCTGTGCTCTCTGGAGGCACATCCCTGAGTGGGGGAAGCAGCCAAGGATGAATCATTGAATGGCTTGGGGTGGAAAGGACCTTTAAAGGTCACCTAGTCCAACCCCTCCTGCAGTGAGCAGGGGCATCTTTGCCCAGGGAAGCTGTGGCTGCCCCATCCCTGGCAGTGTTGAAGGGCAGGTTGGATGGGGCTTGGAGCAGCCTGGGGTGGGGGGGGATGTGTCCTGCCTGTGGCAGGGGTGGGACCGGATGGGCTTTAAGGTCCCTTCCCAAGCAAACCAGTCTGTGGTTCTGTGATCTTCAACTAGACCAGGTTGCTCAGCACTATGTCCAACCTGCATGTTTCCAGAGATGAGGCAGCCACCACTTCTCTGGCCAACCTGTGCCACTGCCTCTCCACCTTCATCATAAAACATTTCTTATTACATCCAAGTCTGGCTCTCCCCTCTTTTAGTTTAAAACCATCACCCCCTGTCCTATCCCAACAGGCCCTACTAAGAAGTCTGTCTCCATCTTCTAAACCTTCTGTGCTGAGACAGGCCCTAAATTCACAGCTAAAATGCAGTGGTTCTGTGGCTGCCCCAGGCAAAGAGCTGGTGTGAGGGATGTCAAGATGGAAACAGAGCTTTAAGTTCCATTTCCTTCATTTTCTGGGGCTGAGGAATGTGTTCTCTTTTGATGTCAGGACTGGAGGAGCTTCTTGGGTTTATCATGGCTGGTTCTTGGAAGGACAACCCCCCTTTTGAAGCCATTCTCAGGTGCCTGGTGCTGAGCAGGGGTGACAAGAACCTGGCTGAGGTGATTTGTGTTTTCTGGCCTTGTGCAAAAGGCACATGTTGGGACTGACTCCCTGGAATTATCTCTGCTGAGGGAAGAGCCAAGGCTTCTCCAAACCTCCTGAATCGATGCAAAGGGAGCACAATTACAGCTGTGGGGGGTGGTGATTAATGAGCCAATTAGCATATCTGCAAACATCAGCAGGAAGCCAGCGGGAGCTGCGGCTGAGGGGACGTCTGGGGGCTGGGAGGGGACGGATGCAGGATGTGAGGATGTGGCCCCACGGGGTGGCTCTGGGCTGCAGTATCCAGCATCCATCTGTGCAGCATCCTCACTGGGCTCCCAGCATATTTGGGATTTGCCAAAACGTCTCCATCCCAAGCTGCAGTTGTGCCATTTCCAGGGCAAACCCTTCCCGAGGATCTTACTGATCCTCTTCTTGCATCTTTCCTCCCCAACTCCCCTCTCCTGGGAACAGCTAGAGTTTTCCCAACATTTCATCCTGCACCATCTGGGTTTATTTAAAGCAGAAGGGCCCGTTTTTGGGGGGCACTCGATCCATCCAATTCTAGCTCTTAACTCCCTGCTCTGAATTCCCCCCACTCATGGGAATGGTGTGACCTGCTCCTGCACTGCCCCGTGTCCCTGCCCCTGGCTCTCCATGAGCCTGTGGTGCTGTGCTGCGGTTTGTGTTTTTTTTAAGATGCTTCTGGGCAGTTTGTAGGATTTTCCAGACCAATGAGCCTGTAACCTCCCAGCTTCTTTCCCTCATCCTCCTCCCAGACAAACATTACAGCATCTTCAACGCCAACCAGCTGCTCCCTGCTCCTTGCTCTCCAGGACCCCTCGAGCAACTCCATCCAGACTTATTTAGATTCACAAACATCTCCTTTATCTGCAGCATTTCCCAACTTTCCCCTTTCCAAACCCAGGCTGAGGTCTCACACCCCTCCTGTGAGATTTTTTGCCATTGCCTCTCCATGGCAGCTGACCTCTTCAGGGATAACAGGTTTTAAGGAAGAAAAAAAATAGGCTTAAGGATCTCAGCTGTCCCCAGCAGCCAGTCCCTGCCTTCTTCCAGCAGGGCCATGGGGTGATCTCTTTCCGTCTTTGTTTTTCCTCTCCATATTAATGCTGTCCCTCTGTGCTCATCCTTATCAACCTGACCTACTTTCTGCTTCCTGGAGGTTTTGCTTTGTTTGAGGCTTGGCCTCCTCATCTGCTTCCTAGCTGCAGGATCATGATTACTCCTCCATTTTCCCAACAGTTTTTGAGTGCCTGCTTGGAAAGATTTCTGGTGATTGAAACCCCCTACCCTGAATTGATAGATGAAGATACAAGAACTGGTGTTTGAAATCTAAAATTAAGCCAAGGCAGAGGAGAAGCCACTAAGGGTTTAATTCAATGGGAGTTTCCCATCAATTTGCTGAGGATGATGCTGGACCCTTCTCACAGGGAAACACCCCAGTGCCTGCCCCACTGCCTGAACAGCACTGAACAATGGCAGTAAAATGAGAAATTACAGCAAAAATGTCACGTTTGGGGCAAGGTCTGGTGGTGTTCACTCCCAGGGGAATGTCCAGGATGAAACACTCACCTAGTGCTACCTCTGCTGCCACCTCTCTTCTCCAGGAAGGTTTGGCAAGTGCCAAGGAGGATGGAAAAATAAAACCTCCCAACTGTGAAAGTCTCCCCAGAAATTATTCCCTTTTTTGTTGGGTCTGGGCAGAAGGAACAAAATGAGATCAAGAAGCTGAGAGTGGCAAAGTCACACTGTAATGTTACCTGGAGCAAGTGACAAGTGCCCAGCCAAGCAGGACACACACTGGGAGAAAACCCAGCAAGAGTCAATGGGAAGTGCAAAGGCAGGAAAACCCTGCTCAGGTTTTACAGGGAAAAGAGAAGCAATAACAGCAGCTCCCCAACCACAGCCACACATCCACTGACTCCTGCCCTGTGCCAGCCCCCTGACAGCATTAATGTCTCCCCCATCCCTCTATACCCCTTGCCCAGGGCAGGAGCCAAAAGAGCTGCTCAATCACAGAATCTTGGAATAGTTTGGGTGAGATCTTAAAACCATCCAGTCCCACCCCTGCATGGGCAGGGACACCCCCCACCAGCCCAGGCTGCTCCAAGCCCCATCCAACCTGCCCTTCAACACTGCCAGGGATGGGGCAGCCACAGCTTCCCTGGGCAGCCTGGGCCAGGCTCTCACCACCCTCATAGCAAAGAATTTCTTCCCAATGTCTAACCTCAATCTCCCCTCTTCCAATTTAAAACTATTTCAGCTGTGATTAATTTCACAGCCTTTTCCACCCCATGGACTCAGTGGTGTGAAGCCAGCTGCCACAAGAAGGGTTGTCTGAAGACAACAACACACACCTGTGGTTCTACTGCAAACGATTCCAGTCCAAACCCTGGGAGTTGTGCAGGGCCATTGCTTCACCCACTGCAGGGCTGCAAGCCTTGCTCAGCATCAGGAGAGCTTTCCCAGTGCCTTTTTGGGAGGTGGGAAGAATTACTTGCAAGAGCAGAACTGGCCTCTTTGGGCACCAGGGAAGCATTGTGGTCCTTCTCTCAGACCTACCTGTCCCCAGCCCGGGCCCTGCTGGATCCTTCACCAAGTCTTGGTTTCTCAGTGCTCTGCATCATGTTTCTTCCCTCAGCTCTGGGGGCTGGAGCTCTTCAGGCACCTCCTCCTCGGGCTGCAGTCTGCCATCATCAGGGGTTTCTGAACTTCACAAAGGGATGATTCATTCTTACTGAAACACAGGAGATCTTTAAAGGCAACTGTCAGAGGAGTTTGAGAGCAGGGATCATCCTGCAGGGATCCAGGGCAACGATTGAACACCAAGCAACACATCATGGGGCAGGATGAGACCCTGGACAGTCCCTGGGCCAGGGATCCACTTCAGATGATGCTCAGCCCTTATTCTGGTGCAGAGCAGCACATCTGCCCCCCCCTGTATCCGAATCTCAATTCAAAGCAACCTGAGGTATGCATGGGGGCAAGAAGTCACTGCCCCCTCCCTGGGGAATGGGATGAGCGAAGAGCTTTCCCTGATCATCATTAATTCCCAAGTTTTAAGGAAACAGCATATAAATGGGGTGGGGGGCTGCTGCAGAGTCCAGAGCCTTACCAAAGTTGGCAGCCACCCCCTCCCTAATCATTGGCTAACGTTAACTATTATTAGGGCTTGGAAAACCTTCCTGACCTTCCCCAGAGTTCTGTGCCCTTGCTTTAACCACCACAAACAGTTCAGGTATAAGAAAACATTAGCAAATCAAGCGAGGAGAGCCATCCTCCAGGGTGCCAGGAATGCAAATGCCCAGGCCATTATCTTATTAAGGCTCCAGGGCTTCTCAGTCCCCCAGCGTTCATCTTGGCACAGAGCACCTTCAACCAAGAGCATCTTGTTCCCAGCTGGATACCCTGACAGGCACGACCCAACCCCGAGCAACACAGGAGAGGGGCCTGGGTTGTGAGGAGGGGTCACAAACAAGGCTGAAAGCCTCCAGCAGGATATCTGAGGTGGTTTGAGCTTTAGAGCAAGCCTCAGGACATCAAGGTGAAATAAAGCACCCCAGGAACAAACTCTCTGGATTTCTCTGAGGGAGGGCTCTGCTTTTCCATGAAGAAAGGTTCCCCAACACGCAACAAATTCCAGGTAAAACAAGTTCCATGCTACATTTAAGAATGACTGCACAAATGGGAGCAGTTTGGGCATCTGGAAAATACCAGACTCCATCCCCATGGCCTCTGCCCAGGCAGAGCTCTCAGCCCTCAGCTGCTGCACAACCAGGACTGTCCAGATCACCAGGTGGTTAAGAGGCAAACCAAGAGCAGAAGGAGCAAAGTGACACAAACTTGGCATTTGAACGAGGTGAACTCTCCCATTATTCATTTCTGACACTATTTCTACC